TGAAGCACCTCTCCTGGCTCAGAGCTGGGGCTCAATGTAAACAAGCTAAATGTTCCTTCTTCTTAAAGACAAGGAAAATGGTTTGAGGAGGGTACATCCTGAACACAAAGACCGGATGTTCCCTAGGTCCACCTCTTTCTGGGCGCACAAGGACACTTCCCAAATCCCTTGAGGGTGATATGACCTCATGACTAGGTTCTGGACCACAGAATGCACACAGGAGTCTTTGAACCACTTCCATCCCGGGCCACAAGCTCCCATTCAACCTTTAACCCGTGTCTTCCTTCCCACAGCCATGGGGAAGGCCCTCCAAAAGGACGGTAGTCTCACCAGGCGCGTGGTGCACACCTGTAACCCAGCAGCTTGGGAGGCTGAGGCAGGAGGATCGTAAGTTCAAAGCCAGCCTTTGCAAAAGTGAGATGCTAGGCAACTCATTGAGACCCTAAATAAAATCCAAAATAGGGCTGGGGATGTGGCTCAGTGGTCACGTGGCCCTGAGTTCCACTAGTACCCCTTGAGTTCCTAGTACCCCCACTCCCCCAAAGAGAAGAAGGTAGCCTCTCAAGATGGAAGAAGAGGTCATGCTCAGAGGTTGTCATCCAGGTGGAGGCTGTGTCCCCTGCCTGGTCCTACATGACACACAGCATCCCCTCTGCGACTGAGCCCACCATAAAGACCACCCCCCATACCATTCAAGAAGCAGAGACGTAGATTCCACCTCCCGACCGGAGAGCAGCAAGCTCAGGTGAGACCAGAAAGAGCATTGATGACCATTGTGGAAATACAGCCTGCCTCCTGTGGGCCCACCAAAATAGAAGGGGCTGCTGGGCAGTGGACTAGCTAGGCGGCCCTCCCCCAGCCCAGCTCTGAAGTGAAAAATCAGCTGCAGAGGTGGAGGTGGAGCCTTAGCCATCCCTTCTACACTGACCGTCTCGGCCAACATCCCACCACAGAGTGGACAACCGGCTCAACCGGATCCCACCATGGCTCCTGTGAGCGGTGTGGGACCCTCAGGAGGGAATCAGAGGAGCGAGGGAAGGACATTCCTCCGTGGGGCCCCGACGGGAAGAAGGGCCCAAGAATGTGGCAGTCTCCTATTCTGCCTCCACAAAGCCAGCAATTCCCGACCAGCCTCTTAGAAAGATTCTCTTGGAGAAATAACAACATTGTCAGGGTCCGTCACTGTTTTAAACAGGCTGCTTTGTAGATGGACCATGGGAAACATTTTAAATTTTTGATTGAAAAGTCAATCAACCTGTTTCCAATTTTATTGGAATCCCAGCAAATCGTACAGTGAGTCTCCCAAAGCAAAGGCATGCCGGGGCAAAAGTTGAGGAACAGAGATTCTAGAAGGTTCTAGAATGTTCTAGAAAGCCTTACCTGGGTCACCCCACCCAGCCCTCCATCTACTTAAGACTCCTTACCCAGCTTCAGCACAAGCCAGCCAATTATTATTCGTGTCTGCTTCTTTTTAAGGCCAAATCACATCTTGTCTCACTTTGTGACATGGTTTCCTTTGGGTAATTTAAAAAAAAAAATCTTCTTTTTAAGTGATTTTTTTCCCCTTCCTTCCACTCAGCTTGTCACCCGTGTTCTGTAAATAGTACAAGGCAGAAAGCAATTAATTCGCCAGCAAAAAACCAGGGAATTCCTATTTGAAAAATCGGACTTTTGTCCTCCTCTTGAACCGGAAGGCTCCCTAGAAAGAACTTCATCTGCATAAAACAGCAGCCTTCCTCTGCATTTTAGGTCCCTTCTGTGAAAAGGTCGGACATTTGTCCCGTGGTTGTGAGAACAAAAGTTCCCACATGCACACTGAAGTCTGTCCCATTTAAACTACAATCCTACGGGAATGTCACGTTCCCCAGGGCTTTGACCTAAGAGGAGAGCAAAGCTCAGCTTTTCCCACTGGGGCCTGAGAGTGCCCCCCCACCCTTAAGCACTTTCCTCCGGTGGAGCTTTGGTCACAGTCCCTCCACCTCAAAATGGCCCAGCGCTGGACACTGGCAACTGTGCTTCAGAAAGGCAGGGCTTTGCCCTCGCGGGTCCCCACCAACTGTCCCTGCCCGTCACATTCAGCAGGTTAGGAGCAGTGGCGGGCAGCCCACCAGGCCCCCAAGAGCCAACTTCCCAACTGGACATGCTGTGTCGGCAGCTTGGAGTCAGCCACTGTGGGGCGTTGACGTCACAAAATGCCAGAGACTGGGATTTCGTGGGGGTGCCCACTACTCCAGAGAAGCTCACTGGTGCAGACCTCAGGGGACCCTGAACAAGAGGATCCAGCCATCCCAGACCCTCACATTCTCAGCCTGCTCTCTCTGGGGCTCTGGGCCTCAAGAAACCACAGCTGGGTGACCCAAGTCCCAGGTAGGTGGGCCAGCACCCTTCTCCAGAGGGGCCTCCCTCTCAGGTGCACACCACCTCACCTGGTCCCTGAGACCAGGCCAACCAGACACCAGGAGATGGAGGACCAGGCGAGGGTCCCTGTGTCTGGGGAGGGTCTTGAATGTCACTGGAAGGGAGGAGATGGAACGAGAGGTGGGAGAGGTGGAGGAGGGCCTGGGCCTTTTTCTGCTTTTCTTTTTTTTTTTTTTTTTTTTTTAAAGAGAGTGAGAGAGAGAGAGAATTTTAATATTTATTTTTTAGTTTTTCGGCGGACACAACATCTTTGTTTGTATGTGGTGCTGAGGATCGAACCCGGGCTGCACGCATGCCAGGCGAGCGCGCTACCGCTTGAGCCACATCCCCAGCCCCTTTTTCTGCTTTTCTTTCTAATAGTTCAGGCGTCAGGTGTGGGACCAATGACACTTGTTTCCAAGGGAACTGTGAAAGCCCAGGAAAGTGTGAGGCATAAATGGCATCTGTGGTGGGCCTCTGCAGGGGAGCCCGGGACCCACCACCACAGGGAAGGACACCTGGGTCAGACAGGAGGGCTCGGGCCTCCGGTGAGGGTCGAGGGCATCACACTTCTGTCCAGGACCACAGCCCATGGCATCCCTGTCCAAGCAAGGCCCCGCTTCCTGCTGTCTGTCTGTCTGTCATCTGCCTGATCCCCAGTTAACCCTGTGGCCTCCCACACTGATAACCATTTGGGTGGGTTTGATGTACATCTTACTTAAATGTGTTGCTGAGGGCACAGAGATGGGAATGGACACAAAGGGCGATGGCGTTTCTTCCTATTGTCACACAGGGCTAGGCTTTAAAAATGGGGCTGAGGGGACGGTTGGTCCGTGACTTCTAACTATTGCACAGTATTCTGTGCTGTGTCTCCACCTCCTCATCCACCCATCTCCTGGTGGGAGACGCAGAGGCTCCCCTGTGTCCCAGCCCACAGATGATGTTGGGATGAGTGACGTCGGGTAGTCCTCATGTGGAGCTGTGCGGGGATGTCCCTGGGATGTGCAGCATCTCTGTGCACTGGACGCTCTGGGCATACTGTCTTGGTGGTCTCCTCCATGAACAAGGGCCAGTCCTTTTCCTCGCTGACCAGGAGGGTGATGACCGGATCAGATGGGATGTGGGCCAGGATGTGGCTGGGAGGGCTCTGGGGTGCTGTTATGAGTAACAGATCATGAGTTCCAGGATGCACCCCCAAGAGGGTATGTGTGGACAACCGTGGGGCACCCTGATCTCCACCCCTAACCTGGCTCCCTGCTAGGTAGCAGGGAGCAAACCAACCTGGAGGAAGTAATGGGGTGAGGGCAGCATGAGGCACCCACTGAGGTCTGTGTCTCGGAATTTCAGGAGAAACGTTTAGCTAACTGGGTGCTTTTCCTGGCAATGTTCAGCTGCCCTGGTGCAGGGGCAAAGCCGCTGGCCAGTTTATGTCAGCCATGCTGGGGGACAGTGCCAGGAGAGGGAGACAGGGGATTTTAATAAAGAACCGTGAATGAGGAAGGGGTGACTCAGTGAAGACGTGGGGCCAGGCAGAAGAGCTGGGACAGGTGAGGAGAGGTCCGGGAGGCTCCCTGAGGTGTCCTTTCCAGATGATGGCCACTTCCTGGGTGTGAAGAGTTGCCTGAGTCAGTATGTGGGTAAAGGCCATTGGAGACGTGGCCATCAGGGCGTGGACTGGGACTTCCCCAAAGGGACGAGACAGAGGAGACACGGGAGAACAGCCAGAAACCATAGTCTTCAGTGAGTGAAGAGGCGCTACCAGACCAACAGGCAGCAGTCGCCAAAAGGGACGGCTGGTGACAATGAGAAAGAAGGAAATTCTTAGCAACCCCTGGAAAACATTGAAGATACTTGGCCTGACCTTGGAATTTGCAGAATATGATAAAAATTCCAGGTCAAAGTGTGGGGAGGATACAGCAGGGACCTTTCCAGAAGATGTGGTGGGCCTCTGCAGGGGAGCCCGGGACCCACCACCACAGGGAAGGACACCTGGGTCAGACAGGAGGGCTACAGCGCTCACAGTCTACAGAGCTCACGGTCACCCATGGGATTGAGAAGGATGGAGGGATAAGATTGGAGGTGAGCCACACGCTACAGCTGACCACGTTCTGCGGCAGAGATGGCAGGTTCCGTCATACTGGGGACAGAAAGAGGGTCTGCGGCACACAGCCCTGGTCCTTGGGGGGTGACTGAACTAACAAGGGGAGGTGAGGCATGATGTGAATAGCGGTGGATGACCCTCCAAGGGACACAGAGAATCATCTCAAGCTGTGGATTTGAAGTGTTGGGAGCCTCAGGCAACGGTGGGGTGGCTGCTCCCCCTGGTGGCCAAAGTATGACATGGCAAGTAAGTCCTGCAGGCTTTATCCCCAAACCTGCACCTGGCCAACAGGTCCAGCCAGGTACCACATGCCTGTGGTTGGACAGCAACGGCCATAACAGCAAAGCTCAGATGCACATCCTAAGTCTTCCCTATAATTTTGACCTGTGGAGGGATCCCAGCCCAGTAAGTTTATTATCAAGGTAAAAACCATCTCCCAAACTCACTGGTCCCCAGAATACCTGTATGTGAATGGCTGAAAAACTGTTACCTTGACAAAGAAATACATCTCTCTCCAAAGGTAGAATTTTTATTCATGAAAAATTTCATTAATAGAGGTGGGTCAGCTTCAGAATTTCCCCCTCAACATTTTATCCTAAAAATGTTCAAACTTGCCAGGCACAGGTGATGCACACCTGTAATCCCAGCTACTTGGGATGCTGAGGCAGAAGGATTGCCAAGTTCAAAGCCAGCCTACTCAACTTAATAAGACTTTATCTCAAAATAAAGCGTAAAAAGGGCCAGGGATATATTTTAGTAGTTCAATCCTCAGTAGTATTTGTTTTTAAAAGAAAAAAATTCAAATTTTGTTGAAAGAAATTTTGGGATAAACAACCATATATACACCACCTAGATGCTACAATTAACACCTGATTGTACTCACTCTGTCACTTATCTATCTAACTACCCAGCCTTCTTTTTTTTGGGGGGGGGATGGTACTGGGGATTGAACTCAGGGGCACTCAGCCACTGAGCCACATCCTTGGTCCTATTTTGTATTTTATTTGAGACAGGGTCTGAGTTGCTTAGCACCTTGCCATTGCTGAGGCTGGCTTTGAACTCACGATTCTCCTATCTCAGCCACTGGAATTACAGGAGTGTGCCACCAAGCCCTGCTCCAGCTACCCAGCCTTCTATCCATCCAATGAGCTAACCTATTTCTGACACATTTCCAAATGAATTGTGACATTAGGACCTTTCACCCATAAATACTTGTCATTAACTAACTAGAATATTCATTGATAGTCCTTTTTTTTCTTTTAAAGAAAAAATATGCATAGAATAAAATGCACAAGTCTTACGTGTACTATCTAATAAATTTTCAAGAAACACATGCACCCTATTGTTTTGCTCATTCCCATCATAGAATAGTTTTGACCCATTCCAGGACCTCATGTAAATGGAGTCATAAATAGGATTATACTATACCCTTTTGTGTAACACCACCAGAAAAGCTGCCCCCCGTGTTCCAGCAGGGCTGAGAATCTCGCTCTGACTCAGCCCTTTTCTTACCTTCCAGATGAGGAAACTGAAGGTCAGTGATTTTGTGATTGTTTGAGGTTAACCGTCTACAGATTCATGTCCTGAAACTCCTTGACCCTGTTGACTGTCTATCGATGGAGTTTCTTCTGGAACAGTGGTTCTCAAAATTTAGCATCCATATGATCTCTAGACGATCATAATCCTTAAGTCTGGGCTGGGGTCCAAGAACTTGCATTTTTAGCAAGTTCCTGATAATGCTGGCGCTGCAGGATCAGGGCTTGCAGTTGAGGACCTCTGTCATAAAAGGTAAGCTTAAACTGGGTGCAGTGGCTCACGACTATAATCCCAGCAGCTAGGGAGGCTGAGGCAGGAGGATCACAAGTTCAAAGCCAGCCTCAGCAATTTAGCAAGGTTCTAAGCAACTCTGAGACCCTGTCTCTAAATAAAATAAAATACAAAAAAAAAAAGGGGGGGAGGAGCTGGGATGTGGCTCAGTGGTGAAGTACCCCTGAGTTCAATTCCTGGTTCCAAAAAATATATAAATGGCAAGTTTAAGATTCACTACTGGAGACCAAATACCCCCCATCATTTCTACAGCTTGTCAAAATGGGCCAGCACCATGACAAACAGGAATCAGAGGTGAGCTAGATGCTAACAGAGACCACATTGCAGCAAGATGTCCCCAACCCCAAACTGGGGTGGGGCAGGGGGGTGCTCCACTCTCTGCTGACTTACATGGAGAACATGCTGGACCCGCCTCTCAGTCCATCTAGTTCATCAGCCGAGTTAATTTAGTTGGTTTGAAGGTCCACTGGCTACTTCCAAGGACTGGGTACATTTACCCTCCAGGACAGAGCCTGCCTCTCCCTACCCCGCTGTGTGATCAGCATGGGGTGAAATAGATCATTTCAGGGGAACACACCGCACCACTTTTTATTTTAAGGCTTATGAATTGATTTGAATGTGCATTAGGAAAACAGAAGATCCATGAATTTACATATGCTATGTATTATTTACACCGCTTCCTTCTTTAAATCAATTGAAGTTTAAACAAGGAATTGATTTGAACATCCAATATTGACAGATTAATAAAACAGCGGCTGAAGGGGATGTGGTAAAGTCAAGAAGGCTTCGTGGGGTCTTAGAGATTGGCTCCAGAGGATTCCAGAAAAAGGTGAGCCACCGAAACTCAAAGAGCAGCCTGTCCAAACAGGAAAATGCACCTCCTTTTTCTGAGCTTTAAATCATCGCTCCAGGACATAAAGACAATGCCACATAGTTTATTTTACATTTGTGTTTTGTGACTTCTTTTGCATATTATTCTCTGTATCTTATGCTGGGCTGCTTAGTTCCTTTAAAATATGTGAATTTTCATATATGCTGCAATTTTAAAGTGTGATTTTTTTAATATAATTTTTCAGGCCTAGAATTATTTTTCCTTGAGGGACCCATCTTCAATTTCATAATGAAAGTCAGCTGGAGTAGGATACTGACTAGAGAAAATTACTTTAGAGACCATTTTTCAATATCTTTTTACTTACAAATGAGTTGTATTGTCATTAAAAAGTAACTTTGTTCAGTTCTGATTCTTTTTTTCCCCAGTATACCTGCCTCCTTCCACATGGAATTTGAGAGAATTTACAGCAAGAACATACTAGGTAAACTAACACAGTGATGTGCACCTGAGGTCCCAGTTAACTCAGAAGGCTGAGGGAGGAGGATCTCTTGAGTCCAGTTCAAGGACAGCCTATGCAACATAGCAAGACCTGTCTCCAAAATAAATAAATAAATAAATAAATAAAACATCGAAATACTAAAATCAAGAGTTGAAAGTGGAAGTTGGAATGAAGGAAAATAAAAACAAAGGTATTATAGTTTCCGATTGGTATCTGAGCTCCTTGGCACCTGAAGAGAAAAGGGACACAGAATTTTTTTCACAATTTATCTTTCCAGGAAATAGGAAATGTGTCCATTTCTTGGGGAAAACCACTGTTCTAAGGCTTTAGCTCAAAAAATCTTAGCCCAGAGGGATCATTGCATGATAGAAAAGACAATGAATGTCCTTGATTTTCCTAAAGCAAAGGGAACACGGTGGCTCCCTGACACCATCAGAGTTCCTCACAGGGGTAACCGCATCGCTTTCCACAATATTCATCTCTAGTCCTAAGGGTCCAGCTGTGTATAACGCTGCACTGCAATGTTCTTTTTTATAACCAACAGTGTTTTTAAAACGTTGAACTTTTGCTACCTTCTTTCCACCAGTGACTCCCAAATTCATATTCTCCCAACTCCAGTCGTACATCCAACAGCCTCCAGCCCACCTCCGCCCAGCACGGTAACTGTCCCTCGGCTCCCCACTCCCACGCTGCCCCCCCCACCACGCCTAGTCTCAATCAGGTGCCACGGGGGTCCTTCAAAAATGTCAGTCATATCAAGTCATGTTTGGGCTCGAAGCCCCACCATGGGTCCCCCCATGTCACTCAGAGAACATGACAACGATGTCCTTATGTGGCCACGAGGCTACACAAGAAATGGCCCCTTTACTTCTCTGACCTCAGCCCTCATCTGCTCCAGCCACACCAACCTCTTGGCTGTTTTCTGGACACATCAGAAACATCCGACCTTTGCCCTGGCTCTCGCCCTGGCTGGGACGCTCTTTGCCCCAGATCCCTGCAGAGCTCATTTTCTTTTCAGGGATCACTTTCTCAGTGAAGCTACCTTAATGGCTCTGTTTAAAAGGTTCCATCTTCCTCCCCATCCATCCACTTCCTCACACTTCCAGGACCATTTATCCTCCTCAACTGTGTCTTTTTTCTGCTGCTTTGATCTCCTTCTAGCAATCTTTATAATCATGTTCTATTATTTATTTATTATCTTATCAGTCAGAACAGGCCAGGTTATGCTACAGTAACAAACATCTCCCAAAAATCTCAGTGACTTTAAAAAGCAAAGATGGTCCCCAACTTACAATGTCTTTGACTTTTGCCTAGTACAAAAGTGACAAGCATTCAGTACAAACTGTACTTCAAATGTTGATCTTTTCCCAGGCCTCATGATAGTTGGTTCAACACTCTTTTATGATGCTGGGCAGTGGCAGTGAGCCATAGCTCCCAGTCACATAGGAAAACATTTGACATCATGATGTGCTATTGTTGTTAAGCTGTGATGTTTGGTGGGTCAGGTAGATTAAATGCATTTTCAATTTATGGTACTTTCAATTTGTGAGAGGAGGGTTCCTCCTTTGTAAGTGGAGGAACATCTAATATTTCTCACTCATGCTAGGTCTCAGGGACCTGGGCTGATTAAATGAACCCCTTCTTAAATATTTCCTGTTTCCATGTCAGGTATGAGGGAAAGTTCTGGAGGGCCTCGCGACAGCAATTAGATGCTCATGCCCAAGTAACACATGGCTTCTCATGATTCATTAGTCAGAACTGGTCACCTGGTTTCACCCAACCATATGAGGAGCTGGAAGTAAGATCCTACCATGGACCAGAAAGGGAAGGAGAACTGGAAATATTTAGAGAACAGTGTTAATGCTGACAACACTAATTTTGTCCATTTTTATTACTTGCTTTCCCTCTCTAGAACTAAATCTCCCCAAAGACAAATATCTCTGGCACCCAGAACAGTGCCTAGAACATAGTAGGTGCTCAATTTTAAAAAATTTCAGAGTGAACATGGTTAGATCCATTTCAGGAACAGAAAGTTAGGAGTTAAAAATAAACTCCAAATGGAATTTGTAGTCTATGGACATGTCAGACAGGTTCTGGGTCTATTTCTGGAGTGTTCTTGAAGCTCCTGAAATTATTTTCGAACTTTCCCAAGGAGAGGGTCTTATAGCTTTCACCAGGCTTTCAAAAGATACCTCTAAAACAGAGACCAAATGATCAAAGGAGAGTTTGGATATGTCGAGTATAACAGCCAATATCACTTAGGTAGTAAAGGATAACGGGTATGTCACTTCACCTGTCTGGGCCCGGGTCTTCTCCAAGAGGTGCCTTAACGCCAGCCACTGGCAAGTGAGCCTTAAAAGCTAGAATGGCTCACAGGGAGGCGCGGCCATTCACCTGCGCGGCCAGCCCGCCATCTAGTGGACGCAGTGGGCAGCTCGCACAGCCCGGCACACACCAGGCCCCCCTGGGTCCCAGGCAGCAGCTGGAGCTCAGAGAAGGTTTAAGCAGCTTCAGGTCCGTGCAGACTCTAGAGCAATGCAGGCCTTTTGGATTTCCCTGCAGGGTAGGGCGGAACCCCAGGTCTCCTCCTTACTGCACTCACCTCCTTCTTTCAGCCACATCTTTGATACACTCCTGGCCACCAAAACAACTCTCAGCAAGAACAAGACTGGATCAGAGGGTTGCAGGAACAATTGCACACCACTTCAGGGAGTACACGCCACCAGATAATCAAGGAGATTTAATGCTGTGTTTTATAAAATCAAAATGAATGCAAAAAAATTAATAAAAAATAAAATCCATGCTGAACAAAATATCAAATTTTAAAATCAAGACAAGATCCTCATACCCCATCTGTTCATCGGCGGCAAGCTCCAGTAGGGCTCACAGGGCATATCGCTGATCCTGTGCCTCCCCAGCCTGGTCCCAGGGTGGCCGGACTGGGCCAGAGATTGAGGTCCAGCAGCATCAATGACCCTCCTTCCTGAGCACAGAGGGATAGGCCCCCGGTGGCTCCTTGGCTCTGCTTAGGGGATGCTGGCCCTTGAGTGGTTATGTCACTGTCCCAGACAGGCCAGGCCGGGCCAGGCCCACCTGGAATCCCAGGTCAGCTGGTTTCTGTAAGGCCCAGGACCTTTGACTGGTCATCGTATGGAGCTGATAAGAGCCTGCTGGTGCTGCCAGGGAAAGGGGCCTTGCCTGGGTCTATGTAGCCTGATTTGGTTTGTTGTTGTCATTATTGTTTGTTTTTTATATGGAGGTGAAATTCACATAGTAAAATGAGCTCCATGAACGTGTACATTTCAGTAGAATCCAGGACAGTCACGGCGTTGTGCAAGCATCACCTCTAACTAGTTCAAAACAACCTCTTTTGCCCCAGCATGGTGGCCCGTGCCTGCAATCCTAGCAACTGGGGAGGCTGAGGCAGGAGGATCACAAGTTCAAAGCCAGCCTCAGCAACTCAGCGAGAACTTGTCTTAAAAATAAAAAAATAATAAGGGCTGGGGTTGTGGCTTAGAGGAAGAGCACTTACCTAGCATGTGTGAGGTCCTGGGTTCGATCCTCAGCACCACATTAAAAATAAAATAAAGGTATTGTGTCCACCTATAACTAAAAAAAAAAAATGTTAAGGAAAAATTAAATAAAAATAATAAGAGCCGAGGATGTAACTTAGTGGTAGAGCGCCCACAAGTTAATTCCCAGTATCCAAAAAAAAAGAAAGTAAAGCAAAACAACTTTTTCAACACCCCAAAAGGACACCCCATACCCTCCTCTGTATAACCAAGAATTACCTAACACTAAAGAAAATGGTAAAGTCCAGCCAAATAGGGGCTCCAGGTTTGTATGGGGAAAAGATTGGTTTAAAGTCTCTACATAGTGACAGAGGCTGGCACAGAGCCAGGGGCCGGAGGAGCTCCTGAGCTCCGCTGTTGACCCTGCCCCCAGGGATCCACCATCTTTTAGCTGAGGAGGCAGAGTATCAGGAGATCCTGGTGTTTGGATTAGCAACCTAGGAGAGGAGGGGACATGCTCAGAATAGCCAACTAGCCAACAGGAAGAGCTGCTCCCACCAGTGACACACCCTCCCCTTGCAGCAGGGCTCAGGCTGGTCCCTGAGGTTTCCCACCCTCAGTGTCCCCATCCCTTCACAGATACATTGACATAAAAAGTTAACTAATTCTAGTACCCTTGGGCCTGGTGCCCTTTACCCTCCACACAAAGACCCAACCAGGGTAGGGACATTTCTCTCCAAGGCAAACAGAGCTGTCCCCAAATCTATGACTGGCTGTGTTTGCTGATGATGTCACATCCGTCCTGGGCTTCCTGATCGATGTGACTCAAGGGTGAGTGGCTGGTCAAGGTGAGTCATACCTTCACCCACCCAAACAGCCAAGAAGGTGGCTCCTGAGGTGTCCCGGTCCTTGGAGAACAAAGCTGGGTGGAACCTCAGACATAGCTTCTGACCTCAGAGCTGCCAGTGAAGGGGCATCTGGGTGCCACCTTGGCACCTTGTGGCAGCCTTCGGTCATGCCCCTCGGGTAAAGCTCACGGTGCCTCATACCCATTTGCAAATGAAAGAGTCCTGCCGTGACAGAGGCTTTGCTCACTGTCCAGTAGCAGAGACAACAAAATCAAGCCCAGGACAATGATTCCAAAGGGCAGGAGGGGGAGGGGCGGTCCATGAGAGAGGTGGGCAAGGCCAGGTCGCCAAGCCTTCATCAGGGACCAGGTCCTCTCAGCGTGGGCTCCTGTTCCAGCAGCTTGTCCCCAGGCTTCCTCCAAAGCAGCCTGCTCCCAGGGGTGTCCTGGAAGCCCCTGATGGCCCAGGGGCAGTTTCTCGCAGCCCTTGCTGGTCATTTCGTCCTTCTCTAGTCTCATAACTGCTAAGGGTCAGTGGATTGGCCAAGAAAAATAAATCAAGGATGTTCACTCTGCCAAAAAAAAAAGAACCTGAGCGGCATCGGCCCAGTGGTTGCTGGACCTGTGAGCAGTGTGGAGATGACATGTGACTTGACCCAGCCGGCTCAGAGCTTAAAGCAAGTGGGGGGTAAAGAGCTGGCTGGGAAATCCTGTGAGCTGCAATCTCTGTTGACAGTGGAGATCAAAGGCAGTCTTGGAGGGGACAGAAGGGGTAGCAACTGCAGGACCCATGACCCGGCCTATTCCAACAGCCCTGGCTGCCCTGGGGGCCTCTGCCTAGTGCCTCGCCAGCAGCCCCAGAGCAGTGGGGACTGCCCGGCTTATGGCTTATCCGTGCATTCCAAGGGGAGCCTGATTCCAAGGGGAGCCTGATAATGGAGTCTCGTCCACTGGTCTGGAGCCTGACAGACTCATCTTTGAGAAATGCCCCAAGGAAAAACATAGCTTCTGTGACTACTCCCTCAGGGTCATCTAAAGCACCGCCCTCCCCCACTTGGAGTGACCAGGAAACAGAAGCCCAGGACAGGCTGTGACTAGCTCTGAGTCACAGAATCGTTTTCACTGAGATAGAAACTGAAATTGCCAGACGGGACCATCTTCTCAGACCTTACCCGGTTGGAAGGGCAGCAGGGGTCCCCTGTCACCCAGTCATGAACCACAAAGGGAAGGAGTTCTGCCAGCGGAGAGCCATTCTGCATTGTGGAAGGAGGCTGCCCCTAGGTCCTAGCTGCTATGTACACACGGTGGAGACTCCATGGATTCTAGACCCTGAAGTCTACTCAGTGAGCAAACCCTTCACCCAGGCAAGGTTTGGGGGAGTGCTGACACCCAAATTTCACCAGCTTAGTGTCAAATAGCCAAAGATCTCAAGACCCAAGGAGCGCTGATTGACGTTCTACGGCAAGAGCAAACAGACAAAATCTCATCTCCTTTCACATTCACAGAAAAGCGGCTGGTATAAGAGAAAACTGCCAAGAATGAGCAAGTCATTTGAGTCCAGAGACGTAGCATCATCTTAGCTAATAATAATGTGTGAATGCTTTCCTATCTGGTGACTTCTGAGAATATTGCTTCTCTTGTTGCTATTTTGTGGGACATCTTGCAAACCACTGTGACTGACTCCAAAGCAAAACGGATGATTTATCTTGACGAGGTTCCAAATTGACAACTTTGAACATTGACACTGAAATTTGTTTCTTGGAAAAGTGGGTGTCAAATGATGTTCTTGGATTACAATGAAATGAAAGTACTTTTGGAAAGTGGTTTAAGGATATTTAAAAAATCAGACAGTAGGGCTGGGGATGTGGCTCAAGCAGTAGTGCGCTTGCCTGGCATGCGTGCGGCCTGGGTTCGATCCTCAGCACCACATACAAACAAAGATGTTGTGTCCGCCAATAACTAAAAATAAATAAATAAATATTTAAAAAAAAAATCAGACAGTAGGGAATTTTTTCAGGACAGTCCCAGTTTTAATAATACTCTCTCCTCTTTGGTTTCCATAATCATTTTCAAACATGGCTGCCCAGGGAGGGGTCTTTTGTTTTAATTGCAAAATAGGGTCATTCCCCAAAAGGGAAAACTTACATGTATAAAAATTTTAAGAAACTCTTTCCTACCACTTGGATTTATTATTTTATTTGAAGGTGCCTGATGTTTAGCCAGGCATAGTGTATGTATCTCTAATCCCAGTTCCTTGGGAGACAGGAAAGGGGATGGCAAATTCAAGGCCAGCCTCAGCAACTTAGTGAGGCCTTAAGCAACCTAGGGAGACTCTGCCTCTAAAAACCAAAATTAAAAAGGAGGGCTGGGTTTGTAACTCAGTGGTAGAGCATCCCTCCTGAGTTCAATTCCCAGTACAAAAAAAAAAAAAAAAAAAAGATTCATGATGCTTATATGTGTTGAATTTGACATGATCTCAAATTCTCCCACCAAATTTTAAGAACAATATAGGCAACCCTTTGGATCCTCGGGTTCTAGAACTTGAGATTTGACCAACCACCAATTGAAAATATTTTTTAAAAAATTGTACCTGCACTGAAAATGGATAGACTTTTATTTCTTGACATTATTCCTTAAATGACACAACATAACTACTATTTATTTAGATTTTACGTTTTATTCCCTGTGGCTCGGGAGGCTGAGGCAGGAGGATCTTGAGTTCAAACCCAGCTTCAGCAAAAGCAAGGCGCTAAGCAACTCAGTGAGACCCTGTCTCTAAATAAAATTTAAAAAGGGCTGAGGATGTGGCTCAGTGGTTAAGTGCCACTGGGTTCTATCCCTGGTACCCAAAAAAAAAAAATTACATTGTATTATCTAGAGGTGATTTAAAGTATTGCAAGAATGTAAGTTATATGCAAATATTACACCATTATATATAAAATTGGAACTATAGCATCCATAGATTTTGGTATCCATGGGCATCCTAGAACCGATTGCCTACAGATATCAAAGGAAAACCAACTATGTCACTTAGGAAGGCTTTATTTAGCTGCCAATCAGAAAGCTCAGTGCTCACCAAAGCTTGGAAGTCAATGACGGTCTCTCCCTTCGGTCCATCTCTACTTGTTCACGTTTAACCTTTTTCATTGCTTCGGGCTTACAGATGGTGGCTACTTCTTGCATGAACGGATCTGCTTTCTAGGGAAAGCAGACCTTTGTTTACTCTGACTCTTTGGCCAGAATGTGTCTATTTTTCCACTCCTAACTTCAAAGAGACCAGAAAATCACATTTTTTTCCCCTAGCTCACCATCTCCTATAGTAGAAAAAAGGATTTGCACATCAGCTTTTATATGCTTACTATGATCTTTTCAATGCTACAGCATTTACAAACTTTAAATATCCCTAAATACAAAAGAAATAATGCATAGGCTGCATTTTACTTCTCGGTATGAAAATAGTGAAGCTCTTTGGACAGTGAATTTATGGCTCCTATTTCTGAGACCACAGTGCTTCCTGACATCATGGCCAAACTCCTGCTAAAACTTTTATACTGATCAGATACTGATGGGATGTGGATTGGCGAGGTCTGCCGTTTATACTCAGCAGAGTCTCCATTGATTCTTAATCCTTGCACTTCTCCGTCAATGTCAATATGTTGGGGACATTTGTAAAGAAACACATAAATTACTACTCAAGGTTTTGCTTAATTATTTATAATTGCATGCATTTGCCCTAATGGAAAATTTCATTTTATGCTGAATTTTAAGATCCGTGGGGCTAATACATCCCCTTTGAGCATTGTCTTGTTTATTGCACTCCATAGATCCCCGGGAATTTAAAGTGAGAACCGAGGGACTGTGATGCTCAGAGTGGTCGGTCGCAAAAAGGTCTGAGTTGTTCAGGGAAACAAATTCACTAGAAATGCCAGGGTCCAAGGTGAAAGAGGCTGGTGTGGTGAGATGGCATCTGGTACAAGAACATAAATATGAGTGTGTGATAAGGTGGGTGTAGACAAAAAGGATCAACTGAGGCATCCTCGTGTCATGACCTTTGCTCTCTTGGAAAGAGAATTAAAATTTTAAAAGACAGATCACCCTAGTGAAAAGATCGGTCCATGATATTCCACCCCCTTAGCATCTCCTGGTGTTCTCATTGGGAAAAACTCCTTAGTAATCCCAGCCTTTTGGTGTGGTGGCTTTCACCTGTGATCCAAGCTACTCAGGAGGGTGAGGCAGGAAGACTGATTGAACCCAGGAGTTCAAGCCCAACCTGAGCTACATAGAGACCTGGGGAAGAGAGAGAGAGACAGAGACAGAGACAGAGAGAGGGAATGAACTTTTGTCTGTCTCCATAGATTTCGGCAAAAGTACTTCAGAGCATTGTTTTCGAAGTCTTCTCTTTCAGAAAAAGTCCCAGTGGAAGGTAAGACTGTTCCAGAACTTACTGAGTTTATCAAGGAAAAATACTGAGCACATATGCAGGGATTTGAGTCCTATGAAAAGGAAATCGACGGGAGCGGTCGATGTTTGGTATTTGGTAAATGCAAAACCCAAATTTGCTTGGCGAAGGAAAGTCTAGAACTTTCTCTGCCGATGCTTTCCCATGGCGGGGTGGGGAGGTTGGTGATGAAGACAAGGCCAAGGAGGAGAGGCCAGGAAGATCCACTTCCACAAATCCAGCTAGGCCATGTCCCCTCAAGGCCAACTCAATGAGGAATTTTCAGGACAACAGATCCGTGGCTTTCCTTTTCTGCCCTTGGAAAAGTAAAGAAT